TGAACAGTACAGTTGTCATAGGGTCATCATGAGAGTACTGCCGCGGCCTAGCTTACTTAGAGTCCTGCCTGTGGTGCAAGATAAGTCTCAGGACTACAAAGCCCACATGGTTTTATTTCAGCAATAGAGAAAGGGCACAAGGGCATCTTATGTGGGCAGACTTGTAAGAGGGAGTGTTGTAGCATGGCTAGCTGAGTATGGACTCACTCAGCCCACTTTAGCATGTGCAAACTCCTGATTGCTCTCTGTCCAGGCTTACACGTGTGATTTCGAACCCGTGTTTTCTTAGCCTCATGGAGGCCCTTGAGGATCTCATCAGTCTTAGGGTCGAACAAACCCGATCCATCAAAGGGCAGGTCTAGAATGCGAGCTTTTGAATCATCAGGAATCGCTGCGGATTTCAGCCACGCCTGTCTTCTCATGGCAATGCTTGTCATGAGGTTATGTGACGCGGCGTCCAAATGTGTCTGACGGTAATCCTTTCTTGATGGATAAGTTGCATAGCTTCCTGATGTAGCGAAAGGCCTCTAGGTTGTAGCTCATCAGGTGCCGCTTGAAAGGATGGTAGTGCTCTGTTCCAAAGGTGTTGGTGGTACGCAGCCATAGCTGCCACGTAATTTGCAGCTCGGACCACCAGGGAAGCAAAGGCATAGGAACGACATCCAAAAATATCCATTTTCCTACCGTCCTTGTTATTAGATGTAGAGACCGAACTGGGTCGAAGCTTCGATTGAGCCACATCAACTATCAAGGAGTTTGGAGCAGGATGCTTAATCAGGAAATCAAGTTCAGAACCTTGAATACGATACAAGTTCTCCACCCTCCTGGACATTTGGGGAATTGAACACAGCTTGTCCCATGGTTGCTTTAGGGTTCTTAGCAGTGAAGGAATAAAGGCTAGTCTCACTGCGAGGTCTTGGTCTTCGTCTATGTCCCCATAGATCTTGTCAGAGGCCATTTCAGGAGGCCTCTCGACCGGAAGTTCTAGTGTGGTGGCAATCCGATGTATCATCTGCGAGTAGCTAGGAAAATCCGCAGCCGGTGAAACTGGATTTTTGTCGATGATCCCAGAATCAGGAGTGTTATCGTTGGGAGCAGAAGCGTCAGAAAAACTCTTCTCCATATCAGTCTTCCGGAACATCGGAATGGTCAGATAAAGGTGTCTCTGGAAGCGGATGCCTCAGTATGGGAGGGTTAGGCACTGCTTTCTTATGTCCACGCCCTGGAAAAGGATGAGTACTGCGACCCCCTTTAACGTCGGTATCAGGACGATGACCGGTACCGGTATCGGTATCCTCGTCAGTATCGGAGTCACGGTCGGTACCGATCTGGTCCAACTGGAAGGAATCTGAGTCAGACGAAGCCTGATGATGCTTCTTCTTAGGCTTCGGTACCAAAGGCATGTCCCCGTGAATACATTTACGTTTGGGTGGCATGGTACCAGTAGGGTCGGTACCGAGTGGTGCGGTACTGGTGGGGTCGGTACCGAGTGGTGCGATACTGACACGGGGGGCCGGGTGGATTGGTTTCTCCTTAGTTGGTACAGGCGCCTGCGGGCGCATCGGGACCGTGGGAGTCTTGCCGTGCTTTGGTTTCTTTGGTATCGGAGCCTCTGTCAGTACCGATCTATAACTCTTCCTTCCGGTATCAGGGTAGGACGGTACCGATGATGTCAGATGAGTCCGATGAAGATAAAGAGGAATCGGAGGATGAATCCTCTGCAGCAAGGCTGTATAGAAGGCGCGGATCGTACAGCTTTTGCATTTGCTGCCTCCATCGTTTAAGGTAACTCTTAGAGAGTCTGAGCGGTGGCAAGTCCTCCTTAAGTGCATGCTTCTTAGCTTTCTGGGGGCGAGAATGTCGAGCCCGGGGGGGGGGGGAGACCTCCGGTCCCGAGTGTCTCGGAGGCCGGGAATCTCCAATAGGTGATGCCAGATGCTTCATTTTTGCCTTCTTCTTTCTAGGAGAAGGTGGTTGCAGGGGTAACTCCGGAGTAGGTGGAAGCGGAGCCGGAGATGGCGGGAAAGATGGAGGCGAAGAGCCCCGGGAAGGGATCTCTATAGGAGACTGTGGAGTCAAAACAGGCAAGGGCGGAGAAGCCTGTGGTTGCAGGCTAGGAGTAGCCTGAGGAGATCTAGGCGGCTGAGAAACAGGTGGTGAAACCGTGGCCTTCGATTTGGCCGATTTAGCTGACTGTTTAGAAGACTTTGCCTTGGTTTTGGAGGCTTTGCCCTTCTCTTTAGATTTTGAGTCAGGTAAAGGGTCGGGTTCTGCAGATGCAGAGGCTGCTTCCATGCCTGGTGGACGCAGGGATTTCTCCCAAAGAGCGACACGTAAACGCTGCTCTCTAAGTCTCAGTCCTTGCTTAGTAAAGCTTTCGCAATGGTGGTAAGTCTGAGGAACGTGTGACTCTCCAAGGCAAAATAAACAGTAACGATGGCCATCTGTGGAGGGGATCTTTTTCCCACAGGCCGCACAGCTTTTAAAAGTGACCTTGGGACATCTAGAAGCCCTGGAGGCCATACAAAAAATGCGGGAAACAGTCCAAGGGAAAAAATAAGGGGAGGGGGGAAGGGAAAAAAAACCCCTCACGAAGGACGACAAAAACACCTCCCCTCCTAAATAAATAAAGTCTCTGTACTTTCCTTATCGTTCTGTAAACGAAACAGAGCCAAAGAAGATGAATTTCCAGTGATTTCACGGAGCTCTAGCTAGGAGACCTAACTGCAGCAGCAGAAAAAATGGAACTGAGGTAACTGTTAGGGCGGGCGGACCATGAGGTCCTGTGGGGTGGAACCAAAAGTGTTACTTTAAGCTCTAGAATATTCCGAGGCCTTTGCACAAGAGCAGATTTAACCCATTAGTGTGATTTCACAGAGACCACGAAGAAGAATCAGAAGTTATCCTATTCTTTCTGAGTTCCAACACACAAATAAAGGAGAAAGGTAAGTAAATCTGAGCAAATACAGTGGTGCCCCGCATAGCGACGTTAATCCGTTCCAGGATTAATGTCGCTATCCAGAAACATCGCTACACGGAAAGAAAAACCCTGTTTAATGCGTTCCTATGGGGCAAAAACTCCCCGTTCAGGGAGGATCCTCCATAGGGGCAGCCATTTTCGCCGCCTCGGTAAGCGAGGAATCTGTCCAGAAAAGAGCGAGCGGCCATTTTGGAACCGCCAATCAGCTGGCATTTCCCCCCAGCTGGCCGGCGGGCGCTTGGAAGGAGCCTCCGGAGGAAGAGGAGGAGGTGAAGGGGGAGTCGGGGAGCCAGGCGCCCGGCTGTGGCAGGGCTCTTTTCTTTCCCCCTTCCCCCTCCGCCGCCCCGGTAGGATCAAGCCGGCCGCTGGCCGGCCTTTGGAGGAAGAGGAGGAGGTGAAGGGGGAGTCGGGGGCCCAGGTGCCCAGCTGCGTCAGGGCTCTTTCCCTTCCCCCTCCGCTTCCCAGGGAAGCTCAAGCCGGCCGGTGGCCGGTCTTTGGAGGAAGAACAGGAGAAGGGGGAGTCGGGGAGTCAGGCGCCCGGCCGCGCCAGGGCTCGTTCCCTTCCCCCTTCCCCCTCCGCCTGCATGAGAAGATCAAGCCGGCCGGCGGCTGGCAGCCGGCCTTTGGAGGAAGAGGAGAAGGTGACAGGGGGGGCGGG